ATCCATTCAATACTGTGAGGAAAAATTCCTGATTAAATTGGGCAGACCTACTTACCACTCTCCAATGTGGAAGACCCTTGGGGCGCGGAGGACAAGTGTGTGCAATTTCTGTGAAAGGCAGGTGGAGCTCACATGAAGTAGTGACCAGTCCCAGTTGTAGTCATCATGATCACAAAACTGAGAGCTACATGCCTTTATCTGTTGCCACACACTGTGATTAAAAGCAAAACCCATGTTGTGCTTTGAAGAAACCCACTGAGTAACCTCCACCTTCAATAAAGAAGAGAAAGCAAAGGTGCAAAGTTATATGTGACTGCATGCCAAAAAAAAAAGAAGAAAAAGAAAAAGTTTACACTCAAAATTCCTTCTCACAGATGGATTTCATGATAAGAATGATAGAGACACATACTATTGCTTGTGCTTTTGAAACGGAAATGAAAATCTAAAGTAACATCAAAACAGTTCCTGAATGACAGTTTATATCAGAATACTATTCTGCTATTAAAAAAAACACTCCCACCTCTCAGTAAATCAGAAATTTGTGTGAACTTTATAGCTACTTATTACATGGCATAGCTGATGCCTTCAATGAGACACCAAACAGAAGTAACCACCAGACTCAAGAGAATAATCATATATATCAAGCACAGACATATAGAAAAGCTATCATACTACTATCAAAACAAAAATAAAATCTGTGTTTCCATAGTACATTCTCCCCCTTAAAATCATTTCCATACCTTTCTTCCATCTATCTGGAAATTATAATTTTTCAAATAGTTCCCCAATGTTATGAGTGAACACTTGGGACAGGCTCGAGGGATGGCTGCTGAGAGGAGTCTAAGCATGTGCAGAAAGTCCTCAGCCACATAATGGTCCTCTTCCAGGAAGAGCACCAACCCTGTGTGGTTTCTCAGGACCCACACATCATCAAATATTCTGTTCAAAAAGGGACCAGCATTAAGTTATATACTTTTGACATTGCTTACTTACCTTTTGAGGTACACAAACACACACATGCAAATTCACAAGTTATATTTCATATTTCTACATCATCAAACTAACTTTTAATAAACAAGACTTTTATGCGCTATTTTTCCCAGAAGTTAGGAGAAGAATATCTAAGCTAAGCTCAGCTAAGAAATTAAGAAATGCATACTTACTTGTTTGCTTTCCACCACCAATGATGTTTAGTTTGCGTGAACCGAGCTTCTCGGTAGTGGTTGTAGAGGTCTGGGCTACCTAAGCAGTTAAGTTTTGCAGCTCTGTGAAAATGAAAAAGACATCCCAAGTCAATGCCAAAATAAATATTTTGTGTCATTTTCCATAAAAAGCTTAGATTACTTATAAAGTTAACATAATTATATCCCTTTGTCCCTTTTCACAGGTGGATGTTTAAATCACTATACTACCTCTCCAAGTAATTTTTACAAGCATACTATATATCAATGTCAAACAACTTTACAAAGTTTTAACTGAAAATGCCAAAATACTGACTCTTCTGGCTTCGTGTTTCTTGGGCAGTCACCAGGAGACTCTCCAGGGAAGCTGTCGGGATGGGTCTGCAAAGAGTGTGGATAGAAGATCTGCATCACCTGAAATGGAGAGTGCAAACCCTATATAAATTAATAGTTAATATTTCCTTTGGTTTCATCCTATATAAGCTCTCTTTGTCAAAGAATTAACCACTTGGATCCAGATGATGTAAACATCACATCATGAAAAAAACTGACTTGAGAAGCGGGTAACAAGAAACATGCCATCATGGAAAAATTTTGTCCAAAAGCCAGGGTGATAGAAATAACTCAAACAAGTGCACAAAGGAGGATGATTAGACTCAGTGGGCATTTAAGAATGGGCTCTTGCCTTATTCCTATTGGTAAGCATGTGTGGAATGAACCATCCATGAGCCATGTCTGGAAGAGCACCTGCGACAGGGATGACACTTTTCCATGCTCAAGATCCCTTTCCTGCCCACCATGACTGGCAGCACAGGCTGCATTACAAAAGATTGAATATTACAAAAAACTAAAAATAAAGAAATGACACAAACAACAAAATGTTACTTATTGTATGAGTTATGGACTACCCAGAAAGATGATAGGGAGTCTGTGCAAAGAAAACATTCTATTACTATCTGGATACAGCATATCAAATGATAAATACAGACACTGGGAAATGGCAAAAACAAAAAAAAACAAAAATACTTATGCAGAAAAAGAGATAATAACACTGTAAAGGAGAGGCAAGGAGTCTTGACACCTCATGTAAGTGTTCATGTGCGCCAGGCCTACAAGCCACACACCCATGAGAGTGGCCACTCCAGTAAGCCTAATGCTTGGATTTTGGGACATGTGCAGGTAGCAAAGCATCCGGATCCAAGGAGTTACTCTGCAATACTCATGCAAGCCTTTAATATTAGATTCTTACCTTACAAAAGTCAATGGTTGTGACTAGCTGGTTGATGTCTTCATCAAAATTATCATGGGAAAATATAAGC